CCCGCCAGGAATGGCGCGTCTATCCTTAATTCTGATTGACATTGACAGATGTCATAGGGATGGGAATAATGTTCCAATGATCTAGTGTTGCGCTGCTACTGCGATACGGTATCGATTTCTTAACAATATCAATATCAATCAATAAAAAAAAAACACATTCAATAATAGTTTCAAGTACAAGTAATTTAAATGTTCATATGCGGGTTGGGTTATTTTCATACAGAGTGCGGGAACCGGGACAAAGGGCATTATCCGCGCACGTGGCGACCCGCTGACCCGCGCGGACCCGCCACTCCCGGCCCGGGTAGCCTCTACCATAATGTACGTTCTATATACGTGCATAATTGCAAATTTCGTCAAATAAATAATAGAAACATCCGACCTATAATAAATTAAATTCGTTAAATGTTGTTTGAATAGATCTAGTAACAGGAGTGACCTAGACTAGATTTCTATGGTGCTTTAGAGGGGATGTTTTTTATCTAGCCCTGGACGGTCGCCCAAACATGATACCCTAACGCCAGCCCTGTCTAATTAAAAAGACGAAAAATAGAGGAGTCTCATATATAAAAAAGCATGATAATTAAAATCTTATTAAGAGAAAACCTTGTTGACGCAATGAATGTTGGCATAATAATTTGGTAATCGGTAGCCACTAATAGACCGAAGTGGAAAAAAATGCGTCACCAAGCCAAGGCCCACAAAGGGCTGTAGAGCTAAGAAGAAGAAGAGAAAACCTTTAATTAAACTATCGCACCACTGTTGTGCGATTGTCGATTGTTTCGCAGCAAATTCAACTGTTTAGTTGGACAATTAAAATCGAGTACGTGCTCCATATAGTTCATAGGAATCAAAGCGAGACTAAACAGTTTTGCGATAGTTTAGTTTCAGCTTTGCACACTTTAAGCGTTTATACTTAAAATGTAATCTGATTATGCATAACAATCTTTACTGAGAATCCAAGTAACAGTAGTAGTATCACCTAGCAGTTCCTAAGGCAATAAATTTCGTACGCAAACGTGCCTACAGTGCTGCGACTGGTAAATTTACGTACTCCGCTTTGCAACGGTATTTGGAACTGCATTGAAATTCCTTGGAGGTAGTCGAATGTAATCTATTTTATTGCTATTTTGAGGTAGTTTAGTCACGTATTTTATACTTAACTTATAAGATTTTTCTAGCATAATATTTGGAATCATACTTGAATTTCACACACTTAAAGAATTGTTATCGACCTCATTTCCGGTGTACTCATGCATTTTAGGGTATTGGAGGAAAGCCAATGGATACGGTTGTTGTATTTACTTTTATTAAAAAAGCACGAGTTTAACAGTGGTAGTGCCCGCTTTAACATCTTAGCACTGTAGGGCCGGCACGCCCTGTGAAATACCACAACCACACAGAAAACAGGCGTGAAGTGGAAGCAATTCCGCGTTTCGTCTAATGAGTGTGGTGCGATGGCCTAATTTTAGTCCCTTTCCCTTTCCACCCTTTTCTTAAATAGGAAAGGATGGGAAGGAAAAGTGGATTTAGCGGTGTATAAGACGCATAGGAAGAGGAAATGTCCTCTTTATGTGCGTCTCCTCCTCCGTCAATTAAGGGTAGGCAACGCATCTGCAATTGCGGATGTTTATAGGCAGCGGTCGCTTTCCATTTCGGTGGATTCAGTTGGCCGCTTGCTTGTTTGCCACCTTATATTATAAAGAAAAAAACAAAAGCATAGTACTTTTGTTTTTTTTTTTTAGTAATAATAAAATTAATTTTATTTCATAACTTTTATTATCTAAATGTTCTTTGATATATTTTTTACAAAAGTACTATAAAAATCAAAGGCTTGGATGTTAAAAACACCTTACATATGAAATTGTAATATTTTATTAGTATGAAGCCAGTTAAAACGGTACAGTTCGGATGCTGACATATCAAACGTAACTTTTTATTATACAGCGTCCACAAAGCTTAGGGTCGTTGGTAAACAACTAAGGTGACAATCTCACAAGGTCTTAAGCAAGACTTGTAATTTTCTTTATAATGCTTTAAACGTAAATAGAAAAATGTAAACTATATGAAATTAATTCGATATCCTTCTCTCGTGATATAATCTTACTAATATTCTAAATGCGAAAGTTTAGATGGATGGCTGAACGAATCTGGTTGAAATTTGGCATAGATGGAGAGGATAGTCTGGGAGAACACATAGGTTTTTCGGTCACTTTTGTTTTAATTCCACCCAGATAGTGTCACGGGCGAGAACTAGTAAGTAATAAATTAAATTCCATCATCATTAAAATATCAAGTAAATGTTAATAAATGCTATGTTACTGATGAAGAAAATGACTAAGAAAATAGTATATTAGAATTTAAAGACAATCCCACGTAAATGTAGATTTTTGGTCATAGTACATAAGAATAAAGGGTGTGTGGGTCGACTCCGCGTGGGCGCAAACATTTTATTAACAAAGTTCAGCTGAAACCCTACCGTACCACGATACGAACACTCATTTCTTGCGGCTCCCTTTACATTACTGAAACAATGTACAGTCGGGGAAACCGTGAGACGCGAAACAAAATTCAATACAACGCAGCTTATATGTCTGTACGAAAAAAAGTTGGTTATAGTTTGTCTAAATAGATAAATTAGTTTGATTAATGACGCATATAAAGTATCCAATTAAATTTGTATGAAGACAAATGCCGTACTTAATAGACAGGTATCGTAGTGACGAAACAAACGCGCAGCGAACAATTATGAACAATCGAGTCGGTTTAAAAAAAAAAATTATTGTTTACATTTCTCAAATTATCAATAACAAATGTCAAAATGACATGATATGCCAAACGTTGGCAATCTTGCTTCCTTGATGCTGGCAACAACTTATGGTCTCTTTCCCACATTAGGGTTTTTATCGAAAATATTTACCCCTAAGTTTAATGGCGTGAAAATATATAGCCTAAAGCGTAACGTAAGTGTACGGCTTTTTATTAAAAAAAGAATTATTCAAAAACATACTGTAATTGCTGACATCTTAGGCAACAAAGAAGTATGTGTTTACGTTTTATTATAATAGTATAGATAATGTTTTGAAATAGAAGTACTAATTGCAGTACCGTTATACCTAATATAGTAATCCGATGGTATAGGTCGCAAGGGGCGCGGGGAGAGTTGGTACCGTTGCCGCGGCGACGCATCTAGGACGAAGTCGGGTCACCGGGCAACCTTCACCCCTTTTCCCCCGGGCCAACCTGGATGTCACACTACACTGATAACTCTCTTTTAATTTATAATTGCAATGCTTATCGTATAACAAGTAGTTTGCATATTTACGTCGCAGTTTTGTTTTTAATTAGTAAAATTATAGTGTTTTATTAAGTACGATATTCACTTGTTTTTGCGAAATGGGAAACAAAAATAAACCTTACATAAAAGTGAGGTGTTACTCGCGTCTTTACTCAAGTGAAATTAAAAAAAAAATACCCTGTATTACTTAGTTAAACTTTCGGGTGACGTTATCAAAAACGAATTAAATACGTGAGTTGAGTCGTTTTAATTCGTTTTGTATTTCAGTCAGTATAACATAGCTTTTACAATGGTGAAAGAAATCGGTCTAGTAGTTTTTGTGTTATTTATACATTGTTAGTATTAGTTATGTATTGACAAAGACAAATATAATTCTTTCCTCTTTATAATATTAACTTGTATAGATATGTTCTA